TAACCATCGAAACGCCTGCCATTTGATATAAATAAACTTTAATCATAACTATTAATTAACGTCTACTAACAATCTGTAAGTAAAATAGGCCTGTCCAACCAAAAAATACGCTTGGGACAAATATAACTATTAATGGCTTGATTTATAAAAATGTGCGGGTGGTACAACAATACAATGTCATTAAAATGCGATAAAGTTCATTGACGATGACATTGAATTTTAACCGCTACCGTCTCTTTCACCTGAAAAAATAAGCGAAGGGAGTAAGAATCAAGAAGATCAGAAGATTAATTTAAGCAGAAAAACATACCATCAGATGAGTCTTCGGGTTGTGGAGAATTAGACCCAGAGCGCGAAGGTGTATGAGCTCCAACACGAGGACTGGGTGACCTTGACCCAGAGGGGGAACGAGATTGAGAATGGCGACTGCCACTGCGCTTCGAACCATTTTCATGAGAGCCATTTCGATTAGCAGGACTTCCAGATCGTCTACGAGAACTCGCACCAGATGCTGAGCGAGAACTCGAGCGTGACCTTCTAGGAGGCGAATCCCTTGAAATTGACCGACGAGGCTCGGACTCGCTTCTTGACCGTGAAACACGGGCTCGTTTTCTAGTTGACGCATCGCGAGAAACAGAACGATCTCTAGAAACATTGGACCGGGAACAACGAGAATCAGAGCGGCGGCTAGCAGACTTAGAACGATCACGAGAACGTTTACGGGAGTTTCCACGAGAGTTGGCGTTACTATCGGACCTACGAGAAATAGAACCTGAACGGGAGCGACGACGCCATGAACGCCTACGATATCGCGAACTCGATCGCCTATACCTTCGACGACTACCACTGCATAATGAAAAGCAGAATGCCAGACGTTATTTTTCAAACGTTTATGACAAACTGAAAAAAAATTAGGACAGACACTTACCTTCGATCACGGCGACTTATCGATCGACGACGTGGTGACCGACGACGACCCCTTGACGAAGGACTTCTGCGTCTACGACCACGACTTGAGGACCCATGATAACTAAAATCAGTAAAATGTCACTTAATAGAATGACTCTAAAATTGCGCATGGATGAACGGGAACACGACCAGCCTGTGAGAGTGAAAGTGGCAACTCAGTGGTTGAACCACTGATCTGATTTAAATAGGGCGCACTGAAAGCGCAGATAGAAACTATATACCCCTCTCCCATACTTGAGGCAAAAGCCAGGACGTTAAGACAATCTTTAATTAACTCACCGTCCCTAACACGGAGAAAAAGATAAAGCCATGGGAAGGGACGATTTTGAGAATTTATGGATGGAGGATTTTGGAAGAGAGTCTGAGGAGGTGGATTTTCCCAAGAAGGAGAAAGCGACTTAGGTGAGTAGTAGTATTTCTAGAAGTAGGTGATGCAGAATATCGGAGAGGCGATAGTTAGAGGGAGGGAGATACACACGAAGACGAAACGTAGAGATTGCGTATAAAAAAACGCAAATTAATTTTAATATGTTTTTAACCTATACATCATAACAATCAATGTATAAATGTTGACACCATGCACAACAATTTCAAGCCGAATAAAAATAAAGCGCTTACCCATCAAGTTCGTGCTTGATAGAATTGGCAGCATGTTCAACTCTCAACCTAGACCCAAATGGACTACTACAAAGGTTAATTAAGATAATCTAAAGTACAACCTTCTATGCATTCTCCGTATAGCACGTTCAGCATCTTCCAGGTGTTTGTAAACAATGAAAGCGAAACCTGGGGGGTTACGAGCAACCCACACATCAGTAATAGTTCCGAATCGGTCAAATTCACGTTCAAGCTCAACTTTCCCAACTCGTGGATCAACTCCACCGATGAAAACGCGGTAACCCTCGGCTTGACGGTCCGAGCGAGGCATTACGGGACGATTTAAGAACAAAGAGAGAAAGTGAGAGCAATTAAAACAAAATACAGTATTTAATGTAAGTTTAAATTGTACACTATTTCGTGATAAATTGAATCAACACAAATGATTCATTTCCAAACTAAATTTAAAAAGTAGTTTAAATCCTAATTTTGTGATTGGTGTTTAAGAAACATTTCAGATTTACATATATTAATAGTCTAGACTAAAGTACAAATTAATTTTCATATAATGGGATGATCGAACTAAAGTCACTAACTTCTCGCTAGAATATCAGCTTTAATCCAAGGTGGATATCAATCCTCCTGATAGTTAATTGTTAATTTATCAAACTACAACTAATATTTAGCCACCGAGATATCCACTAAATATCGCATGAAATGGTGTGTTCAATGAATATTTATTTATTTATTAGTTGCTTTTAAATAAAACACTTTAAAAAGTATTCGCACATTTCAAGTCATTCTGTTTAGCAATCACTTATGTTTCTCAGTGATGATATGCCTTTCTATCTTTTCCATTCATTAGCAAATCCAGAAGCCTTATCTGGTCAATGACATATCGTTTCGTATGTTTAATGCCATATGGAACTTGTTTATATTTTTCGTCAGTCAAGAAACTTATTTCATGTAATTTTGTTTTGATAGATACACTCATATTGATTATAACCTTTCATATTTGCATGCTTTAATTGAAGATGATAAATTCTGTCATTGTTTAAGTTTTACTTTTCAAAAATTTTGACGTAGATAGTAGAAATGAAATAGATAACATTGTTTTATACATATTTTTTATTGTGCTATAAAATAGTCTACAACAATATTCTAGAAAAATACCAAGAATACATAAATGAGTCTATGTTGTCCATTTCATATATAAGTTATTAATTGTGATGGGATGAAAAACGTCGGAGTAATAATGGATTTTTATACTTTACCAATGAGAAATCAAGCTGATGAAAGCAAATGCAACATTTTTAATTAGAAATTAATAACTGTAGTAACTTCTCTGTGGAATGAATAATTAATTTAAGAATATGTATTTCATCAATAACCTTTATGCTATGGTATCTTTTGGCTCGTCTTTCCCATAGCGCTGCTGTTTACATTCGATGAGCCAATTAAAAAAATCTTGTACTAGTATGACACAAAGCAGTATTTTTGAATTATTTGTGTTTTCGTCCACTTTCTTCTTTCATCCTTTGCTTATACTGAATTCTTATCCACATTAAGCACTGAAAACTTGACGATTTTATAGTTGCAATTTAAACGCAATATAATGTCAAAAATCTCAGATAAAATAAATATTAAATTAGGCAGGTAGTTAGTTTTACAGAATATAATTATCATAATAGTGATAAATGACATTCATTTCGACGCTAAATACGCTTAAATAGGTGGGTGTCATTGAATTCAAATTAATATTATGAATATGTGGAATCCAGTATTATCATTAACTAGCTCGTCAGAATTTAAAAGCTCTGAATGAAATGAAGAATGAAAAATAATACATTAGTAAAACCGAGTCCTAACTAATTATTCTACAACTGAACCAATAAAAACTTCATCAATAAATCATAAATTAAGATTTTCATTAAAATAGTTATTAAAACATCATCAAATATTGTGGAACTTTATTCAATACCCATGCAGCTGCTATGCAAATGGACATCACTAACTGTGAAAAAAAAATCGTGTACATTTCATTAGAAAGAAAATATTTGAAGAAATGTAATGAATATTGAAGAATTCGAACTATAAATGCTCAAAAAGCTGTTTGTATATATTTTCGCTCTTTTCGCAAAAATCAATCACATTAAAAACGATGTTTCTGAAATTTTTAAACCTTCTTCCTGTGATACCATTAAAAGTATGAAAAATTTAAGATATAATTCAATCAAAAATTTATACAGCTTAAGGCAAAATAATCTAGCAATTCTTACTCAAAATTGATGAGTTAATTATTACGGAGTACGAAAAGATTAACAAAATAATATAAACTTCTATTAAGCTTGTTAATTGAAATTTAAATAATTTTTTTTGAACCAATACTAGTAAATTTTAACTGATCTTAGTTGTAAAATATATATATGTATTAAAGTTTTGCTTGTTTGAAATATTGGCGGCACTATTTTGCGGTACCTTATCGTGTGTAATCATGGTCCCAAAAGCTGTGGAATCAGAATCGAAGGGTACTAAGTATCTCGATAACAGGCGTCGCTCTCGTTCTGGAAAGGATATTCTTGAGCACAAAGCTTCTCAGAAAACCCTTACTAAGGAGCAGAAGCTTAAGATCAAGAAAAGGGCATTGAAGAATGCCAAGAGAATTACCAAACAACCACGTTTTGTAAGCGATTGTTTTTTATTTAGCTTATGTATTAGCCTCGTATGTACGATGTCCAAAATCCCAAAAAGAAGCTTCAGCTTCGCAAAAAACAGTGCTACAAGGACCACCGTCGTAATATTAGGAAATCTATTACTCCTGGTACTATTTTGATCCTTTTGGCTGGTAGACATCGCGGAAAGCGCGTTGTTTTCTTAAAGTCTCTGCCCAGCGGATTACTCCTTGTTACGGGTCCTTTCAAGTACAATGGTGTTCCGCTGAGGCGTGTCAACCAGCGATATGTTATTGCTACCAAGACTTCCCTCAAGTTGAAAAACGTCAAAGTTCCGGCTGTTGTTAATGATGAGTTCTTCCGTCGTCAAGATCTTAAGCCCAAAAAGACCGATGACAAAATCTTTGCGGAAAATGAAAAAGTAAGTGGCCGTAAATTCGTTATTTTTCGTTAATCCTCAGTATCGCTATAATGTTATCTAATTGTAGAAATACACCGTTACGGATCTACGTAAGCAAATGCAGAAGAGTGTAGACAAGGCTGTTATTGGTGCAATTAAGTCGACCAAGAATCCTTCAATGATGGCTTCTTATTTGAAGTCCATGTTCTCCCTAAGCAAGAAGGACTATCCGCATAAAATGGTCTTCTAAAATTTGTAATATAATGTTTCTACGGAGATATAATATGGCTTTTGGTTGGTCAAACATTAACAGCTTTTATGCTTGTTTTGGCATATGTTGAATCGGTTTTTTATTTTCGTGGCTGTACAATTAATCTCTGCTAGTTAGCACAAGTGTTCTGGCGATTTAATCCGTTAATTGAGGCTAGTCTTTTATTGTTTCAGATATGTCTTCTAATTAAGAAAGTATTTTGCTGAAACAACCTTGTCTTTGGAAGATTTTTTGGCCTTACTATCAATTCCTTAGTGAATGAACTTTTAGCAGTACTTAGTTCATGTTTTCAAATGCGGTCGAAATGCTCTGTCAGGTATGTTTAGATGGAAGTCTATAGCATTCGCCCAGAGGGATTATCGATTAGAATGCACCTGGACCAAGTGTATCACTTGACATTTTTATGATTTTTTTGCGAAGCGAGTAATTTGCTTATACTGTGCGATAGACTTTCCTCCACGTGGTGCACCCTGGGCAACGTATACGGCAAAAGTCTATTAATCGGCAGTTGACTTCTGACTTCAAAAGTCTATTAACCGGCAGTTGACTTCTGACTTCAAACACTTCCATCACCCACACTGTATGTCATATTCGACCCCTTTCAAAGTACTCATCTTACTTTAACGGTACAAGTCTATTAACTGGCAGTTGACTTCTCACTTCAAACTAACAAGTCTATCAACCGGCAGTTGACTTCTGACTTCAAACTACGTCTATTAATCGGCAGTTGACTTCTGACTTCAAACTACCATGACCCCATTACATTTCTTGTTCGAATAATTTCACAGTACTCATCTCACCTTGTTTCTACCTTTGTGTCTGTCTGTCTCTTTTTCGTCTGTGAATCATTATTCTCTCTCCCTCTCGACAGTTGGATGTTCATCTTCCTTTCTGTGAAGCCCGAAGTCAACTAAAGGGCTAATGATACCTATCATAACGCCTGGCATTTGAAATAAATAAATGATTTTTTTGCGAAGCGAGTAATTTGCTTATGCTGGATGATGTTAGTCAATCATTCTTGAATAAAACCGCTTATAACTATTCTGTGTACACCTCTCTGTTGTTGATTTATTGCTCATCCATTCACTACTCTTCGAGTTCATGCTTTCCTTTATTTTTTAAGCTCGAACAGTAGAGAAAATATTAGCACTTTGGGGGTCTAAAGCCATATTGACTAAGGAGGTCATTACTGCCAAGTATGGTGCTAGCTGAACGTATAAAAACGTTGGGTAGTTGGTTAAAGGACTAGTTCATTTCCCCGCACCAGAAGGATTTGAGGGATGTCGCTAGCTCCCAGCATTTAAATTATTGTTTTCTCCCTTATTCTAGTTGCCATTGCATGATACACAGTGTCTTCGACCTAATTTGGGGCCGGCAGCCATGCGCTTATAGTCAAAATGAAGACCTTTCTGTTTAAGGATAATTACTATGCCACATTTGTTAGAGCTCGTCTTGTATGAACTCTAATGAGTTCTGCTGATTCTGGCTATTAGGCAATACGGCTGAATCCATGTGGCTTGATGAGGCAGCCATTTATTTTACCGAATAGGAAATTCTAAATTTTACAAACCATGGACCTATAATAATTAAGTGAAGAGAATTGAGTGTTCAACTTATTGCTGCCAAAATTCTAACAAATTAAGCCAATTTAAGGCTCTGACTTCAGTATCCTCTTATTAGCTTCATCACGTGCGTCCCCACTGGACTAGTTTACTTTTAGTCTTATTACAAAGCTCCTCGATGAGTAAATCATCCTAAATATCTCATCATAAGTGAGAGCAATCAACTATAGTAGAAGATTCAAATCTTACAATTCTGACCCTACTTTCTTACGACGGGGTGCGCGATAGACTTACCTCCACGTGGTGCAACCTGGTCAACGAATATTCATACGTCAGTCTATTGACCGCCAGCTGACTTCTGACCTCAAACTACCATCACCCCATTGTATGTCATTTTCGACTACTCCCACAGTACTCACCTCACCTTTTCCTACCCTTGTATCTGTCTCTTTTACATCTTTGAAACACTCTTCTGTCCCCCCCCTCTCGATTTTTTTCACTTTGATGTTCCTTCCCCTTCTGTGAGTCAACTTTTTCAATTCGATGTTCCTTCCCCTCTGTGAAGCTCTCGATTTTTTTCACTTTGATGTTCCCCTCTGTGAAGCCTGAAGTCAACTAAAGAGCTAGTGATAACTATCAAAACGCCTGCCATTTGATTTGAATAAACTTTCTAACCGCAATAGTTATTGCTGTATTTCTCCAAGATTGACATCACCTTGCTTAAGGTACATTTCTTTATTAAAGAATATATTAAAATTAAAAATCCCAATAATGGCAAAGAAAAGGGGAAATGAAATACATCGAAACTTTTATTAAATCACCTGAGAGGGTAGGCAAGCGATTTTGGAGATAGGGGCATATAATAATACACACAGAGAATTGTACGATATGTAAAGCAATACATTTCTTTTGCTTTCGAATAATCTATTATACGTTGGGTGGTTAGTTAAGATATACAATATAGTAATACGTATACACCATAGTTTATAGACCAGGGGAAAGCGTTTTTCAATCATAAATGACCTCTTTTGAGGCGACCCAATATGTCGTCTACCTTGAGCGCTGGCCCAATCTTCATATTTAGCAATGTTCGCATTGTATCCATGTCAACAAGAAGTAATGCTGGGCCGTCAATTTCCTGAATTGGAGTCAACAAAATCATTGATTATTTGCTTCTTTTAAAAATAAGATAACATTGTGGACTACTTACCTGCTGCCTAAATAGGCTTGCAACATCGACAAGTGAGGAGTCTTTTGAAACGAGATAGTTGTAAACGTCGTCTGTGGACCACTCTTGGATGTTTGGAAGAGGGCAGGGTCCAAGGTCTATAAGGGCACAGCTCAATATTATGTCAGCTACTTATTGGATTTAAGTAGACCATGCATCATCTAAAAGTTTAAGCTTCAGATCTGTTTTTTAGATATGGGGTGTTCGATAGGCTTACCTCTACGTGGTGCAGCCTGGGCAACGTATACCCACACGGCAAAAAAGTCTATAAACCGGCAGTTGATTTTTGACTTCAAACTACAATTACCCCACTGTGTCATATTCGACTATCACAGTACTCACCTCGCCTTTTTTCTACCTTCGACTTTGAAACACTCTTCTGTCCCTCCCCCTCTCGAATTTATTTCACTTTGATGTTCCCTCCCCTCTGTGAAGCCCGAAGTCAACTAAAAGGCTAATGATAATCATCAACACGCCTGCAATTTGATATCAACAAGTTTTTAGATATTTTATTATTGATAGATAAAATTGCATATTTTACTTCATCGTTCACGATCGAACTCAAGTTTTTATTACAATTCAGAGCTGAATAGTATAGACTAGTTGCTATTCATTTCCCTGACTAAATTCCTTCTATTAACCTCTTCGAGTAGAAAAAAAAATCTAGCACAATTGACTATACTTCATAAGTCATTCAAAATTATGGTCTATGAATGATATATTGTAATACAGTACAGACTAGTGGCTTGGTATGTTAAGAGAAGTTATTAAGAGCTTTCAACTACTAAAGTGAACAAAAACTTGATCGATTGTGGATGCTGAGAACATAGTAAGAACAGATAAATCTCCCCCCCCCCTAATGATATCCCAACTTATTTAAACTACGTCACAAAAATCAAGGAAATGGCAGATAATGCAGACTGAATGTATGCATTACCAGAAATAGGAAGAGGTATATTTCACAGATTGAAAGTTGAAAAAGATTGAGAAATTGAATGCTACCGTGAATAATAAACACTGTTTACACCTGTTCACCTAGCTTCAAAAGTGGGGGGTTACACGAATAAAATGATTTTATACATTCGAATGAACGATCTATTCTACACTCAGATGAACTCAAATACCTTTTTGTTAAATGTAACATTAAAAGCATAAATACCTTAGTCTTCAAGTGACTAAATAAGGAAAAAAGCTTTACCCATCGATGCGGGGGACACAGTAGAATGCGAGGCCGTGTGACCTCGTGCTTGCTCCGTGGAAGGGAAAATGGATTGTGAATCGCAGTTTTTGTTGAGGTTGGAGTTGTTGTTGTTGGGATTGTGGTTTCCAGGACTGTCGCTGAGAGAGTGTGGCGGAGGGGAGAACTTAGCGGAAAAGGGTGCTGAAAGGGGTGGCGATGAACCCATGGTATCCACAAAGAGTTCACTTGTTTGAGTGCCGCTGAAATCGCCAGAACGATGCCGAATCACCAGCTTAGGTGGCTTGACAGAATCGTGAAAACTAAGGGGAGTGGAATAGATATAATAAATCTCAAAAGAACTTAGTAGTCATACCTTACTATATCTGGTGTTATATTGTCTTAAGACCTTTCTCCAACTCTATTAAAAGGGCAAGGTGTTCAATGGAAGGCGAGATACGTTCTTAAAACAAATAGCATAAAGATTGTAGTAGTTCATATCTTTGTACCGTCTAAAGTGCCAATTGATGAACTCTTTAAACAGTTGATCATTAGCGAACAAAGAATACAAAATTTGCCAACTCCCTTACCGCAACTCAATCCCCCTTATCACACCCTGGATTCTACTTGCTCAATAGTGACCCTTTCACTATTTTTCTTATTTTTTCATTTCAAGTTGTCAAATATGCATGCAATACTACTTCCCTATATTGATCCACGCATGCCTAGAAAAACTCCTATATTCGGATATTCTTTAAAAGGATAAATACGGGCCTGAAAAGGGTTTCTAAAGCTAATTTCGCCTGACTCTTAAACAGATTTGCAACATAGACTTGCAAAGTTAACTCAATAGGCTAATCATAGTACACTTAAGTAGCCTGCATTGAAATTACATCTGGCTGGGGAACCCCGATAATTAGGCAGTATAGCCATAAGACATGTTCCAGACTAATACCGATAGCAAAAAAAAAATAAACTCAAGAAGACGTGGTCCAATCTACAGTTCTCTACGCCCATTGGTACTTAAAAATAGCATAAGAAATGACCGATAAAAGTAGATTTTGCTCTAACTTCTACCAAGAGTCTAACTATTTCTAAACATCACAGAAATGAACCCCAATAGAACACATATCCCCTACTCAAATATCTAATTTTAAAATCGTTGAAGCTAGAGGAAGCAATTGCAGTAAGGTTTAAAATGAAAATAATTAATTTTAATCGCGATCAACTATGTCCACACACGCACCCACTAAACCCACATTGGAATATTCTGCTCTTGGGGGTTAAATATTTTCTATAGAGTAGAAATTTTGTCATTCTGCTTAGCCAAGATCATTGAGAGTCGAAGTTAGAGCGGAAACATCACATGAATAATGGAATACGAAACACTGCTTTGTACTGAACTAAAAGCAGGAAATCGACCACATCCCGTTGGCACGACACATCACATCATTTGCACAGCAAGTCAAGGAATAACGAAGTAAGTCGTCATTAAACGATTAGTCCATCGTCTAATCAATAACATACTGTCACGATTGGACATAGAAGCCCAGCGATTGGTTCAATCTTCTACGGCCAAATACAATCCAAACAAATCAAATTTTCACCCATACATACGGTATTAAACTGGCCAATTCTGTCTAAGCAGCTGTAGAATGGATTATGATAAAATCCCGAAAGTAAAACTACTTTCAGGAGAAGCCAGGACCAACATAGTTAGTAGAAAACAAACCTAGCGAAAAAAACATGACGAACTACAAGAACAAATGCATAGTCATTTAAATGAGCAGAGTGGAGAGTAATAAGTGTGACCCAATGTGGATAAAAAATCACACTCTGCAAAATACTGGAAAAAAGAGGATATCTACACCGACAATCGATTTCATAGGGAGCCGAAAGGAGGTAGAGCAAAAGCGAAATTCACACCAATCACGAAGAAACCATGAAGTTGGAATCAAATTGACGAAAATTTGTGCACTTTAAAGTTAGGAAATAGTACCAAAACAAACGAAGATTGTGTTCATAAGCAAATTATTGTACCTGAGCGTCTGATGAAAGAATTCTCCATCTCCAGAGTGTCTACAATGGCTCTCCTTGGATCCATGCCTCTTTCGCTTCTTTGATTTCTTGTGTCTTCGTTCCACACTTTCACCACCGTCAGTGTCTCCCGACGGTTTCGGGACAAGAGATGAATACGAACTTCCACTAGCATTATTCGATGCAGATGTCTTTATCTCTGACGCATAAGTGGGCGTAGACCTGCTGCTATCACCTGTCGAAGTTTTGATGATTGTCTGAGGACTGCCATCCTCCCGGGTGGTTGTAATAACTGTCAATCGGGGTAACGGAGGAGGTGGAACTAGGATGGATGGGGACACTGAAGGTTGTATTGATTGGGAAGTAGTCATACTACCACAATTATAATCCGGCTTGGTCAAGAGATGATTTGGAACGGAATGGCGTATGCCTCCCTTTCGTCGAACCCCGGTCAGTGTGAGTCTATGGAAAACGAGCAAGCAATTTATTACAAAGTGGAATCGGTTGTTTTCAATGAACTCAAAAGAAACGCTAAAGCCTCAACCCCCGTGTATTGGATTTCTACAATTGTGGATGAAGGAGTGAGACAATCGCTGAACCGGGTTCACTAAAGTTACTTGACGATTTATGAATTGACACCTATCCCAATCGACATAAGCAAATTTCATTTTCATAATATAAAACATGATTTTCCTCCTATTTACCCAACTATTAGTAGCTATAACGAGAGTTGTAAAAAATTAATTGCTAAAACAAAATTTATCGCATTTAAGAATTAGAAAAAGATGCTTCAAAAATTCAACTTCAAACAAGATATGTAAAATGGGGAAAAGTGCCTACAATAGCCGGTTATTCGCCTCCGATTGAAAATGGCAGCGTCCTGGGGGTTGCATTTATGAAGGAAGAGCAAGCAACTGATTAACACAGCCAGAATACAGCTCATCAGCTGATCAGATTTCAGTAAAATCGATAAATCGATTAGATGGCAATTACGTGAGATCACTAATCAAGAATCTTTACGATAAACCCAAAAGTTTTTTTCTCACATCGAAAATGTTGGAAACAGGGATTCCACCTCTGCAATTCAGTCTCTCTCAAGCATTTGGTCAATACATTTTCCTAATTTCCACCTGTGCTCGAAAATCCTTACGAATATTAAAGAAATTTCTTTCAGATTGCTTTCAGGCAGAAATTGTGTTCCTCGGTTGAGGCTACGCTCTAACATGTGTGCGCAAACAGTTAAACTACAACTACGCAAATATTGGAGGTGTGTGTGTTCAGCCGTTAGCAAACATCATATCTCGTATGTGATCGATAGGCTCCAAACCCAATGGATATACACTTAATCAAGAACCCAGAACACTGAAGGATAACTAGCCTTTTGGCGAATTCGGTTGAGCAAAATTTAACAATGTCCATATAGAAAAGGAATGAGGATTCCCCTTTTGACTACAGTCATTTTAGTTTCAACAAGTCACTTCCGTAACGCGTTAATTGCCCGAATTTACTCTCTCCTCAATTTAGCTACTTTTATTTACCTTAAAGAGGGGTGTGCGATAGACTTACCTCCACGTGGTGCACCCTGGGCAACGTATACTCATGCGGCCAAAAAGTCTATTAATCGGCAGTTGACTTCTCACTTCAAACAACCATCACCCCCACTGTATGTCATATCCGACCCCTAACACTACTCATCTTACCCTTTCTGAGCCTTTGTGCCTATTTCTTTTACATCTTTGAAACACCCTTCTATTCCCCCTCCTGAATTCTTCTCACTTTGATGTTCCTCCTCCCCTCTGTGAAGCCCGAAGTCAACTAAAGGGCTAATGATGACTATCAAAACGCCTGCCATTTGTTATAAATAAATTTACCTTAAAGAATATTGCCAAACTGGGAGAGCAAAACTTAAAAAATTGTGATAAATTTGCTGAAACATAAAAAATACAATTCACTATACATGATATTTGCCCCTTTGCCATTCTCTATTTCCTGCAGGTAATTTTAATAATAGAAGATGGTGAGACGCAGTCATCTTTGATAAAATTGACTCAAATTAAATTGCTAGCCAACTCCAAACCACAGGCAAACTTTCCGCTTTATAACACAATCATAGGAATTNCCTCCCACCCACGTCTCCTATTTGAAGCAAGTACCTCCCAGGGTCCCACCTTATTTTAGCGAGAACTATTTGTTTCAAAACACACAACAACGTTCAAGTAACCAGCAACAGCAGCAGCAGGAGTTTATGACTTGCATATTTCGCACAAGGAAGTGTTCAATTATTACTACCCTCTCTCGTTCGTGGTGCTTCATTTATCACACTTCCCTCTAAAAGCCAATTAGGTTGCCGCTGTCGCAGGCCAATGCGATACACCTCGTGCCTTGGCTTCTACTTGGCAGTGGGAGTGTGTAGGAGAGCATACAAATCCATCTCCCATTTCAGCTGAAGAGGTGTGAGATAGTTCGAAGACACGCACGCAACTAAAGCCTTGTATTGGAGCAAATACAAATTTCACCTTCTTGTCACATTCAACGCGAGTTGCTTCAATTTCCTGTGAACTTTTAATTTTTTCTTTTAGATTCTCTTAAGTGCACTGATGGAAAGAATTCAGGTTGCCAAAATTTCACATTTAAATGTGGTAATTTTCATCTTCCATTTATTTTGAAATATTTCAAAAGATCTAATTTCCAGTACATATTACTAGATTAATTAAGTGAAAATTGCGAAACAAAAGGAAACTGACGACGTTCATGAAATCCTCTGTTAAAAGGGTGTAAAAAGAGCGTTCAATAATTAAGAATGAAACGTATTTAAGGTAATTACCCAACAATCCCCAAAAAGCAGTTTGGAAAATCAATGAACAAATTAATCCAAATTGTGGAATCAACATTCAAGTATCAAAATTTTGTTTGATGATATATATAGCGTTTTCTAAGGTCCCTATTTAATTGTCGCTCAATAAGCATTGATTCGGCAAAATTTCATTTTACAGACGTAAACTTACTCGAATGTTTTCGTTTCACGTGAGAGAACTTCACACTCTTCATATCTCTTCGTACATTGGACAATTGGCACTCAAATCCGTCTATTCAGACAGCCAATGAGATTCATTACATTATCAAACCATTAGAGGTCACTTTGACTCGCTAAATAAGCTCAACAGCCAGAAGTATTCAGTATTCTTTGCATCTGTGTGGCTGCTACCGAGAAGTTATAGAGGTTGGAACGTATATATTATCGTCCGAAATGTGTAATTAGTATTTATTTCGTGGGGTGTGCGATAGACTTACCTTCACGTGGTACACCTTGGGCAACGTATACTCATACGGCAAAAAAGTCTATTAACCGGCAGTTGACTTCGGGCCTTAAGCTACAATGGCCCCGCTGTATGTCATATTCTACCACTTTCACAGTACTCACCTCTCCTTTTTCTCTGCCTTTGTGTCTGTCTGTCTGTCTCTTTTACATCTTTGAATCTCTCTTCTGTTCTCCCCCTCTCGACTTTTTGTCACTTTGATGTTCATCCTTCCCTCTGTGAAGCCCAATGTCAGCTAAAGGGCTACTGATAATTATCAAAACGCCTGCCATTTAATATTAATAAATAAATACTTATTACGTACTTATCTAATTATAAATATTTATATTACATTATTTTCGAAACCAGGTTAATAGTGCCTGAGGGTTAGCAAACATCTTCTGATTAAATCAAAACATGATATTCTAAAACTCGAATCAGTAAAGTCATTTTCACTTTCAATGAAATTTTCCAACTTTTCAGTCCATTTGTCTCCATGACTATTTAAGCCTTTGATTTTAGACAAATTTAGACACAAGCTTATAACTTACATAAGCGACGTGTTCTGATAGTCTTCACCCGATTCCGCATCATCAAAGCAAAGTCCGATTGTGAAGAGCAAGGCATTAGCTGCTTCTCTGGAGTAGCCGATCACAACTCGAACTTCGGGTTCATTGAAAACGATCACTGCTGTGCGATGACTCACTAAGCTGAGATTGAATTTGAAAAATGCCGATTTGACCAATGGCAACGACTCAAATTCCTTAAAACAAAATAAAAAAACATTTATCCATCTTGGTGTCTTGGATACTTCTTAATAAGAGTAGATTTAGCAAAACCTCTCCTATTTCAATTTCACTCAAATGCCACTTTACAATTGTGAAAAATTACCATAGCCATTAAAAGTGCTATATGAGATCCTATGAAATAACCTACACTCACTTTTTCCTTACTATTAAACTCATTTGAATTTGATTAATGTCTTCCTCGAAATAAGAGTGGATGATTGGTTAGAAGCAGAAATTCACTCTTCGCGAATAAGTGGAACTGGGCAACTTAAAGGATTGTGATGAGGAAAGAGCTTGAGAGCGAATGAAGGATGAGTAGAGAGTGCGGGAATCAGAAGTTTGCGTTGAGGGTGGAAAAAATCAGTGCGTTGGTAACACAGGAATAATAGTTAAACTAGGGGTGCGTGATAGACTTACCTCCACGTGGTGCACCCCGGCAACGTATGCTCATACGGCAAAAAAGTCTATTAACTGGCGATTGACTTCTGGCGCAGTACTCATCCTACCTTTTCTCTGCCTTCATGTCTGTCTCTTTACATCTGTAAATCACTCTTCTGTTCCCCACCCCTCGACTTTCTGTTACTTTGGTGTTCCTTCCCCCTGTGAAGCCCGAAGTCAGCTAAAGGGCTAATGATAACTATCAAAACGCCTGCCATTTGAAATAAATAAATAAATAGTTAAACTATCACANTTACTCTCTCCTCAATTTAGCTACTTTTATTTACCTTAAAGAGGGGTGTGCGATAGACTTACCTCCACGTGGTGCACCCTGGGCAACGTATACTCATGCGGCCAAAAAGTCTATTAATCGGCAGTTGACTTCTCACTTCAAACAACCATCACCCCCACTGTATGTCATATCCGACCCCTAACACTACTCATCTTACCCTTTCTGAGCCTTTGTGCCTATTTCTTTTACATCTTTGAAACACCCTTCTATTCCCCCTCCTGAATTCTTCTCACTTTGATGTTCCTCCTCCCCTCTGTGAAGCCCGAAGTCAACTAAAGGGCTAATGATGACTATCAAAACGCCTGCCATTTGTTATAAATAAATTTACCTTAAAGAATATTGCCAAACTGGGAGAGCAAAACTTAAAAAATTGTGATAAATTTGCTGAAACATAAAAAATACAATTCACTATACATGATATTTGCCCCTTTGCCATTCTCTATTTCCTGCAGGTAATTTTAATAATAGAAGATGGTGAGACGCAGTCATCTTTGATAAAATTGACTCAAATTAAATTGCTAGCCAACTCCAAACCACAGGCAAACTTTCCGCTTTATAACACAATCATAGGAATTTTGAGTGAATTGGCCTTTTATTGGTTAAGGCAAAAAGCCAAAAAAATACGTTGATCAAAAAAGCTGCTGTTCTTCAAGTGCATCAAAACAACCAAAGATGGCCAGTAAATTACTAAGAAAATAGTATTTTGAACATGACCACAAAATTCAGATCTGAATTAGAAAATTCAATGCCCAGTTTTTTTTTGAACTATGTAACCTGCATTGCCATTTGGTAAGATATATGTTCTAATTCGAATGTTTCATCCATTACAGCATATTCCACGCAAATAACAGCTCATTTGAGACCTATCAGTAAAAACAACGCAATCCAATTAAGAAAACAAGTAGTAATAATTGATTTGAGTAGAGGGGAAGTATTCTAGAGCCAACCTTTTGAGTAAATAAAACTTCGTTTTCCTTCTTTATAACCAAAAATTAACAAATGATAGTGCCTATCCACATTACTGAAAGTAGACTGACCTGATAACACGATCAGTTAACTAGTCTAGCTCGAATATGATGTTGACGGGTTTGGCTGACATAACAACTAATTGACGAGTAATGAAAAAATCCAATTAGAATGACGTTTCATAAGGTCACTGAAACCCGCCTCAATTTTGTGTTGGTGGTGCAATGCCCATAAAAGGATTTGAGTGAAAATTGAAATAAATTAAGCGATAATCTTCATTTAAAGGGACAGGCATTTAGGCAACATAGGATATGGCTATAAAAGCATCGCCAGACAATGAAATGTTCAATAATTTGCAAAGTAATCGACACACTATTAAAAGTGAGGAATCAGTCGTTTCTAAATTGCAAAGTTGGTGACGAATTATTGCAGAGCTACATGAAGGGATCACTGCAAAGACTGCCAAGCACTAACACATAAAAATCAAAACAACAATCTTTATATTTGACTTGCCGGGTGTGCGATAGACTTACCTCCACGTTGTGCACCCTGGGTTCATACGGCAAAAAAGTCCGTAAACCGGCAGTTGACTTCTGACTTCAAACTACCATCACTTTAACTGGCAGTTGACTTCTGACTTCAAACCACCATGACCTCACTAAACTGGCAGTTGACTTCTGACTTCAAATTGCCATCACCCCAAAACCGGCAGTTGACTTCTGACTTCAAACTACCATGACCCCCTGGGTAACGTATACTCATACGGCAAAATCTATTTGTGCGCCCTGGGCAACGTATACTCATATGGCAAAAAAGTCTATTACCTACGCCCTGGGCAACGTATACTCATACGGCAAAAAGTCTATTAATATGGCTATTGACTTCTGACTTCAAACTACCATCACCCCATTGTATGGCAGTGACTTCTAGCTTCAAAGACAAAAAAGTCTATTGATCGGCAGTTGACTTCTGACTTGCAAAAAGTCTATTGATCGGCAGTTGACTTCTGACTTCAAACTACCATCACCCCACTCTATATCATATTCGACTATTTTTACAGTACTCACCTCACCTTTGTCCATATTCGACCATTTCACAGTACTCACCTCACCTTTTTTCTTAAATTCGACCACTTCAACAGTACTCATCTTACCTTTTCTCTTCGACTTCTCACTTCAAACTACCATCACCCCACTGTATGTCAAATTCGACCCCTTCCACAGTACTCACCTCACCTTTGCTCTACTGTCGACTTCTTCCACAGTACTAACCTCACCTTTTTTCTACCTGTCGACCACTTCCAGAGTGCTCATCTCCCTTTTTCCCTGCCTTTGTGTCTGTCTATCTCTTTTGCATTTTTGAATCTCTCTTCTGCTCACCTTCTCGAATTTTCCTCACTTTGATGTTCCTCTCTGTGAAGCCTGAAGTTAACTAAGAGGCTAATGATAACTATCAAAACGCCTGCCATTTGATATAAATAAATATTTTACTCGCAAGCGATTTAGGAAATAGCTTGGGACTTGAAACAAACCATTCTCACATCAAATACTTTCCCTCTCCACATTAATGCAAGCAGTTTGAAGAATCAGCATGATAATGAAGCCAGAAATTCCACGGTTTCCAAACTAAGGACCCTTAGATATTGGACATCATTTAACTCTCCTGCGTTCTTAAAAAAGGCGATCCTTCAACTTGACTATAAGTACAGGCCACCTGACGGTGTTCCTTTGTCCACCACGTTAAATCAAATTCAACAAGGTTGCTTTCAATCCTAAAGGAGACTTACCCCTCTGTAAACCCAACTATTGTGCTCTACACCCGCTTTTAAATTCACACAATCTCGTCATCCCTTCCTAATCATTTAGCTTTTCAATACGCAAAAGAACTCTTTAGCAATCACTCTCTCTCCCTCTTACTCCCTTCTCTGTAGCTTGTTGTGTGATGAAGATCGAAAAAGAATAGGAGAGTGACGGCTATGGAAGGACACTATGTTGAGTGTACAACGTGCAATAGCATAATCTACTCCAATAAACTAGAAACTATCCAAAATGAGTCTCAACTGCCAACATGCCTTTTTCGTCGAGTGGGAGCTGATTTTCTCGCTGCCATTCTAAGAGATGGTGCTGTCAATTGAGGCAATGCTGAAACCGCCACTGACGAGGAAGGAACGATTGGCGTTAGAGGAGCAGTGGGCATCTTGATGGGAGTAAGATTGAGGCGTTGGACAGCGGTAGGACCGGGAGATTGGAGGGCATGGCCGGCCAGTTTGCACCAACCAACAGGGAAGAGATCACGGGAGTCGAAGCGTGCCCAGTAGTCGAAATTACCGGACCAACCATCGAAAGAGACGAGAACGTGTTGACCCGACACCTCACCGATAGTAGCTGGGCAGATGAGTTGGGCATTGTGACGATCTACAGCCTCCAGCTTATCTCCTTTCTTGAAGAGATTGCGCTCTGGATCAGGAGGTGGCTAAAGGAGGAAAATAATGCGAAAGAATTATAATTTCAAATGGCAGGCTTTATGGTATCTATCATTAGCCCTTAAGCTTTGACTTCGGCTATCCCCATGGGTGGGNTTCCCCCGGGGGGGGGGGGGGGGGGTACATTTATAGCAGTCAATTAATAGCAGTTCATTAGCTGACACCTGGCTTCCCAGTATCTCTTGGTTTCCGTCGTTGTCTTTAGAGCTGGAAATCGAATCTGGTGAGTCTTCTCCATTTCCTCCTGTAGGTCACATAGGGGGCATGTGGGTTGAGTGTATACTCCCAATCTGTGAAGGTGTTTTGCCAGGCAATCGTGTCCGGTACGTAGCCTAAACTCAGCAACGGCTTCGATTCTTGGCCAGTCGGCTATGTCGGAGAGTGCCACTGTTCACTGTTTGTCCTTTGTTCGAGCTTTAATTTCGTTGCACCTTGAGGTATGGAGTTCTCTCCTGATTAAGGACTTCATTGTGTGGAAAGACATCGGGCGGTCCATGCATTGCCAAATCGTTGTCCTCTTCTTAGCAAGTGTGTCAGCAAGCTCATTTGCTTTACTGCTACAGTGAACAGGACTCCATTGTTGGACCACTGTTTGGTTTTTCTCTCTCAGCAGCTAATAGAGTTTTTTACATTTCTTTATCTCAGCTGTTTTGGGTGGCTCTCTGTTGTCTATTGCTGACTGTGAGTCCGAAAGTATCACCGTTTTATTCGTTTAACTCAGCTGTTTTGGGTGGCTCTCTGTTTCCAATTGAGTTTTTTCCTGACTGTGAGTCCGAAAGTATCACCGCTTTGGTAAATGCTGACTGTGAGTCCGAAAGTATCACCGCTTGAGTTTCTCGCTGACTGTGAAAAGTATCACCAATTGAGTTTACCTGACTGTGAGTCCCAAAGTATCACCGCTTTGGTGAATTTAGCTTTTGGGTGTCTCTCTGTTTCCAATAGAGTCTATTGCTAGTCCAGAAGTATCACCGCTTTGGTGAATTTCGTATCCAGGCAACATAATTGTCATGGTGCTATCCTAATGGCCTCTATTTCTCCTTCAAAAGCGACTGTGCTCTCCTGAAGGTCTCTATTTCGCCTTCAAAAGCGGATCTATTTTGTCTCGCTGCTGAGTAAAAAGAGAAGAGTTCAGAATAAACACCCTTCACCAACTTTTGCTTGGTTTTCTATGTATGACCCCTCAGTGAAGTCTTGGAGCCATCGATCTCCAGAATGTTGGCATTGATTGTCTCAAGGACCAGTGAGCACATTTGTTCTGGAGGAATGTTTGATTTCCTGAAGAAGTCAAGCAGTNGGGGGTACATTTATAGCAGTCAATTAATAGCAGTTCATTAGCTGACACCTGGCTTCCCAGTATCTCTTGGTTTCCGTCGTTGTCTTTAGAGCTGGAAATCGAATCTGGTGAGTCTTCTCCATTTCCTCCTGTAGGTCACATAGGGGGCATGTGGGTTGAGTGTATACTCCCAATCTGTGAAGGTGTTTTGCCAGGCAATCGTGTCCGGTACGTAGCCTAAACTCAGCAACGGCTTCGATTCTTGGCCAGTCGGCTATGTCGGAGAGTGCCACTGTCCACTGTTTCTCCTTTGTTCGAGCTTTAAGTTCATTGCACCTTGAGGTCTTGAATTCTCTCCTGATTAAGGTATTCATTGTGTGGAAAGACATCGGCCGGACTATGCCTTGCAAAATTGTTGTCCCCTTCTAAGCAAGTGCGTCAGCAAGCTCATTGCATTTATGTGAATGAATAAAGTAGATGGAGAAATGTAGCTAATAGCGGTCCTCATGCTATCAGAGGATATCTGAGAAACTTAGAAGATTGCATATCTTGAATGTTGGGACTAACGATTTCGGTGGGAAGGGTTTACTCGTAACAACATAATCGTTGTAGCTATATGGAGTTATGTTGGTTACAGAATTATATTTCATTACAGTAACTGTAATGCATGCATATGCCGCAACTTAATTGTACAAGATTTGAATAAAGGTGAAGGGTGAAGTAAGGAATGAATTAAAGTTTGGCAGACCGATGGAGCAACAGCACATCTGAAAGGTCTAAGGACATTACTTCAAGACGCACCAGGACACATAGTGAAAACGTCGCTGAATATCAATTTCTAGCCAAGGAGATTCCGTTTAACGCTAAATTTTTTTGCAAGGTAGATATTGAAGGATGGTTCCAAGTGAACTATAAAATTCGCAGGAAAGTGTGCTTGAATAAACATCCCAGCGGGTATTCGAAATGGCAGACTCGACTGCATACGAAAACTGGTAAAGAGGGACAAAATTTAGGTTGCGGACACATCAACGTGACTGTGAACTGAAAGATGAAGAAAGGA